AATTCCAGAAGCTGCAGTACAATCAGTTGAATTAAAAAACGAGCGCACAGACAGAGGACGACGGCTGGATGGGATTGGGGATGGGGATGCGGCTCTGGGATTCTCGGGGATCTTTGGGAAAGGGGAGGAGGATCTCCGGCGATATCATCGCGTGGTGAGCGCGGGCTAGGAAATTAAGAGGACATTGTGGCGGCATGCGGTTAGAACTTGCAGCGGCGGCTTAAACACAAAATCCGCGAAGGAGATTCCTTGCGTGGCTGCGTTGTTGGTGGCTTTTGGCTGGACAGCTGGACGCTGGCTGACAGAGGTCGCCCTCGTACGTAATCGACGAGCATTGCAAATGCTTTTGTCCTCCGCCTGCGTCTTGTGCTGCGCACGTGGCCATGTTGCTGACGCAGCAGCAGCAGCAACAGTTGCAAGCACAGCAGCAACATCACCAGCAGCAGCAGCAACTCCAACAAGAACAGCCAAACAGCAAATCATTGAAATGTCGTTAGAGGCTCGAGCGGCACGCAGCTTCGATAGTCAGCGAAACCGCAAAATGCTTTTAATTTCTCAAACTGATATGCACCCGTGCTCCCACTGCCGAGGAGGAAAACTTGGCCCAGAGGTTCGATTGGGTTTGTTTTGTCTTATTTCAGCTTGCAGGTAATTCAGCAGAAAAGACCCCTGATGAGGTGGCAAGAGGGTAAGGATCACAACATTAGGTGGACCAGAATCCAAAAAGGGCAAATAGTACATCAACACAAATAATTGTAATCACCGATCGAAATGCTATAAAAAAAGCCTATATGTACATTTATTTTAGGAGTAAACAAATTTGTAAACCTTCAAAAAAAAGCTCTTTGTCAAGTAGTAAAAAGTCTAGTTCATCAAAAAATGTATTAAAAGTTTGATCACAAAGAATGTTCTTTTAAGAGATGCAAGTGAATTAATGAACAGTTTTTGAAATATAACTACTTTATAAACCGAAGGAAGTGCTCGAAAATCTCAGGAAAATATATTAAGCTGATTGCGGATATTATGGTTTAAAAAATTAAGCTTGAAGTAGACAACCAATTGATTCATCTAATCAATAATTTGTACATGTCAGAGCAGCACTACTCACTTTATTTACCATTTAATTTATTTACCCTTTGAAATCATGTTAACGCTAAGCAACACAAATCAAATTTTGAAATAAATACGAAATCGTAAAAGCCAACAAACTTGCAGCTTTTTTTACTGGCTGGGCTTCGTGGGCGGTTTAGATGTGATGCGCAGGTGAGCGACCATAGAAGGTAATCTATGTAGCCAAGACACCCGCGCAGACTGATGGATCGCACTCTCGATCCGAGTCAGATATATATATATATTAATATACATAATGTGAGCCAGCAAATGTTGGCAAACAGCACAGCGAACAGCCCACTGCAAGTCGGCAATTAACCTTGGCTGGACAAAGAGTTGGCGGCGGCAGAACGACCTACAGCAGCAGCGGTACAAGTTATGGATTTTATTTTATCAGTCAGCTGGCAGTCAGCTACCAGCGTTGGCAACACAGGAAATAATTGAAAGCGGTTTGAAAATTACAGATATCCACAGGTTTTAAACAAAAAGATTTAATTTCTGAGTCAAAAATAGTGACCGATTCCTATGGATTCAAATTTGCTGCATACCTTCTTCAAACTTAAATTCCTACTTTACAAATTAAGTTCCTCTAAAATGAAAGTAAAACGGATTTGTATGAATCTAAATATTTTATAGTTTTACTTCCACTTTTTTTGTTATAATGAATTAATAATAGTTTTATTTATAAACCTATTTCCAATCATTAATAAACATTGCTAAAACAGTAAAATCAAATTCTTCGAGAGTAAACAATAAAACAAGTCCAAATATACAAAATTTTGTTTTTATTCTCAAAATATCCAAACGATGTGAGATGAGGTGTTGGATAACTTATTTCCTTTCATTTGGTATTCAAGATTATACTTTTCTTTGTGTGTAGCGCAACAACTGATGACCTGAGCCGGCGTTGGTGTCACACCCACAACATTTTGGCTTTCATTCATCGGCCCATGCTGAATGGAAAAACTGAGTTGGGTTGGTGGAACGAGGAGGGGTCGAGTGGAGCGGAATGGGACGCAGATCGTGGCACACGTCATCGGGGCAACCAAGAGGCCAGTAGTGCCTACGCCAAAGCTTTTGGCATTGAAAAGTACGAGCCACAAACGCGATTTGCATGCCAAGTCAGGAGAAAACCGAGGGGAACTCACAAACTCTGAAACTCACAAGCTGACTAACTGACTGACTGACTGACTGGCTGTTGGTGCATGACGAGATTCAATGGTGGCTCTGATCGATTTATGAACTCGTCGCCTTTTGCATTGTTGTCATGACGTCACAAAGCCCCCGAGTGGAAGCCCCCGCAGCCAAAATACTTTTTTATGCGGCGTCTCTATGGGAGAAGCGGAAGCAACTCTTTGCAACATATCGAAAGGAAAACAGAAACATATATGCTCGAAAATATAAATTCATTCATGGAGCAGCCCACTCGCCAGTTTTGAGTCTATTACTGACCGTGTGTAGGCTAACTAGAAACTTTGGGTTCGGGCTTATCGCGGTGCTCTTAACCTTGCTCTTGAAACAGCTGGAAATATGCTTGGGCACTTTTACATTATTCTGCGTCGGTTTTGGTTTTGTTTTTGTTTTTTTTTTTCGTTTTCTGTTTATTATTTTATAATATTGCGCTAAATAATATATATATTTATATTTCTTTTGTATAGATACTATTTTGTGGTTCGTTTTTTAAACATATTTTGATGGCTTATTAGGTAAATTGCTTTAGGGTTATTCGATTTACGTCTTTTGTTTTGCTTCGGCGCATTGCACGATCTATTAAATAATAAATTTAACTAGTATTAAAGAAATTACTCGGCTTTCTGTTTGACAGAAACGTGTTCGGTAATTAAATTATGTGTGGTTTGTTGAGCATTTTCTTTAATGAAGTAAACATTAATTAATAAATTAAATTTAAATTGCCTTTTGATGTGAGAGAACTTGAACTTTGAGCTGTTTTTTTAATTTGGTATTTAAATTTAAATGTACAATAAATATTAGTAGAAAGAGCGAAACAAGCAAACAGCTCAAAGGTGAGTAAGTAGCGGTTATGTTGCATGGAATGTTTTGGAACTGATTGTCTTAATCCGGATAATCCGTTTTGAGCGATTGGCCATGCAACAATTCCAATTAGTAAGTGTCAATAAAAGCCAATTGGATCAATCAAATAAACATAACTGTAGAGTGGTAAATACTACTAATATTAAGCTAAACGAATCCGGAAAATACGCTTAAAACTTTACGGAGCACGCTCATCACACACGCATTCACACACTCACACTCAGGAAAATGGCCGCCGGCGCATTCGACATTTGCATTTATTTGTATTTATTTGCTATCAAACTTGTTAACTAAGTATTGTAAACGCACTGGAGCTGTTCGCCCTTTAGACTCTGTACAGCAAATCTTTACGGAAAGTTTTCCCCCTCTTTTCTACTAGACTTTCCAACTTTCCCCATCTAGTTATGTATGTATATGTATGGTAGGTATTGCACTTATGGTTTAAAAGGACTAACTAAAGCAGTCTCGGCTGTGTCTCGATGTGTGTCTCTAGTGGTTCGGTAGAATGGCACTGGGTTAGAAGCTGCAGCTGCAGGTGATGCGACAATTGATCTATTGCTATGGGATGGTACATGGTACATGGTACTTGGGTGGGAGCTGTAGCTTTGCTATGGCACAGTCGCCTTTAAGTAAGAGTCTTGACTAGTATACAAAAAAAATGTAAATTACACATTAATAAAAAAACACAAACACTGCGATAAACAAGAACAAAACGAGCGGCGAGATCGAATTGGCCATGGATCCGAAATACGAGTATCGAAGTTCGATCAAGCCATTTGCTGCACTTTGGCTCTGCTAAACATATAAACTGCTGTCTAACTAAACTGGCTTGGTTTTTCTGCGGGAAAACGTCGAAGTTTGGTGTTTTGGTAATACAGAGTTTCTATCCAAAAAAAAGTATGAAAGAATTTGTGGGGGATAAGTTATTCTATCATTTTTGTGAGGTCTTATGGAACTTTGTTGACTGGTTTTTACTTTCACAGACTTTTATGGGCGTTAATTGATCAAATAATACAATACTTTTTTGATCTAAAGATTATAAACTAATAAATGGAATTTATTGACTTATTTATACCAAAAGAGGATTAAATTTTTGAAAAAATAAACTAATAAACTATGAAATGTTGCTTTCAAATCTATTGATTCTAACAATATAAAGTAGATTTTAGTTTTTTAGCTATTGTATTTAGTTTTTTAAGGAAAAATAACTTTAATAATTTTTAGTCAATGGCTTTTTTCATTGAGCTTAGAAATTATTACCTAATAAATGATTTTCCATCTTTAAATAATCTGAATTAACTAATTATGTTAAAATTAGACAATGAAGCTGGTAATTTAAAGTAGAATTTCTTTCAATTTTATAGAGGAATGTAATTGAAGTGCAATGTAATAAAGGAAACTGCAAGACTGTGAAAGTAAAAACCACAAAACAAGATCTACCCAATTATAAGATCCAGTGTGCCTAGCTTAAGTTCAGGAACTGATATTGAAAGCTATGTGCTGGAGGGGATCGCCACCCTCGTCACTCCGACGCTGTCCGCACCAACCAAGTCCCAGATATTGCCTAGAGTCCTAGAATCCTAGCCAGAATCCTAGCCAGAAACCTAGCGCTGCGCATGCGTGTGGGACATGTGCGAGTGCGTCGAGTGCGGCGGCGGCACGTGCGGCACGTGGGCGTGGTGCCCGTGTCCGCCGTACTGGGCGTGGGAAAGCGGCGAGGCCTGGCCGCCGCTGTAGCCCGACTGCATCAGACTCTGCTCGAGGCTGTAGTGCGAGGGCGGCGCCGGCGGATGGCCCAGATGAGCGTGCCCGTGGTGGCCGTATATCAATTGTCTTACTTTCGAGTCCTCGTCGGCGATGTTGTAGCTGAGTTCCGTCTCCTCGAATCCGGTGGCCGACATCCGCTGATCGCCGCCACCGACGCTCGGCGGATCCGGCGAGTTGAGGCAGGTCTGGATGAGCTGCTTGCCCGCCTCCGAGGTGATCATCGGTTGCAGCTTGCGCGTGGCAAATGTGTACACGTGGCCCGTCTCGCTGGCCACCAGCAGCATCACCTGCGTCCCGGTCAGCGTGGATAGTTCGTAGGCCTGCAAGTGGAGGAGAGGAGAGGAGTGAGCAGAGGATCGTGTTAAGTACTCGATGGTATCGGATCGGAATCGGTATCGGGTATCGGGTATCTGGCTGACTGGCCAGGCGAAGCGTGTGTTGCCCCAGCGGCACATAAATTTACCCACCAAACTATGCGATTATGTTGCAGCGATAAGAACGCGTTAAGCGGGGACCTCGAATGTGCCGGACTTTAAATTACCAGAGATGGCAACGTGATTTAGAGAGTTTAAATGGGCTATAAGTTTTGGTTATTCTAAAAGCTTTTTAAAAGTATTCTTTCAAGTAAGCCCACAATATTCAAATGAAAAGTATTATTAAATCTATAGCAAAGTTAATAAATTATATTAAAAAGTTACCCCATTATTATTGAATCTAAAGGATATCTGAGTTCATCTTTTATGTAGAACAAGTAAGATAAATTCTGCCATTTTTTTTTGAAATCATCTTACCTATCTTTGTTATTAATTCAAATAAAAAAAAAAAATCATCTTTTTTTTCAAATTAATCCACAGAAAACTACCGCTTATTAAATTACTAAAATAATATCATATACATCCTATATTGATAAACTATATTGTATATTCCTCTGTTATAAATTCTTTAAAAATTTGAATATTTTAATGTTTATTTAATTAAGGTGTGTTCTGTTGTAAATAACTTTAAAAAGCTTAATATGTTTGTCTTTATTATTTTAAACCACTCTTGATGCTCTACTTCTGAATGCTTACTAACCCATATCAGATTTAGCTGCCCTATATTGTTTTGTAAAACAACCTTAATCTGCAATAAAACCAAGTGGATCACGGCAAACCCATTTCGTATGTTGATGCCAGAGAAATCAGTAAGTCGGACCCTTCCTTTCCTCTAAAAATCTAAAAACGCCCACGCAAAAGCGCCGAAAGTCACGCAAGCATCGCGATGGAGCTCCATGCTCCACGCTCGACACTCAACACCTCCCCGGGCCACAGAGCATGTGCCTGCACATTGGACGGTAGCCTAAGCTGCCTATCAACAGCTCGTAATTACTATAAAAGCGATAAAGTCGCTGACGGTCTGGCGGGCAACAGTTCTTGCTACTACTGCAAAAGAGTCGAAACACAGCGCATAAATAACTGGCGGACCAAGAAGCAAACGCTTCGGGAACATTTATTAATATTAATGAAATTGTTGTACACATTGTTGCCCGGTCTGGATTGGGTATTGCGATTGGGATTGGGGATCGCATCGCATCGGATTGGATTGGATTGGATTACCCCCAACTACCATACACAGACATCGATTGGCTGCCAATTTTATGTGTAACATGTGTAAATGCAAACAATTGACACGGTCCGAAAGCGGAATCTGAATCGGATTTCGATTATTCTTGTTGTGATTCGGATTCTGAGTAGGTGTCGATTGTGTGGCTAGGTAACCGCGAAACGGGCCAACAATTCATGTCAATTTGAATTTCGAACAAAGACAAAAGGACACGATTGGGATTGGGATTGGGGTACGAAAGCGTTGACAGGACAAGAAGGCAGCCCCAGAGACCGCGGGCCAGATGGAGAGTCATTTGTTAGAAGCCGATTGTTGCCTGTTTTTCCCCTGCCTCTTCCCCTTTTGTGTGCCACATGGCCTGTTGCATGTGGCCAAAAGGCGAGCCGACGTGGAGCCTCTTGGCCCGGCTTTCTGCGGGCTTATCTGGGCACAATCTGCCGACGAGTGGCTAAGGCTACAGCCTTAAACCTCAAGCTTCCGTGCTGCTGCTGGGCCCCCGAAAACAATTCCCAAGCCAAAAGCCTCGTGATTTCAATTTAACACCTTTTGGCGGCATTTTGCGCCTGTGTGTGCCCTTTTGGCCATGGCCAATTGTTGGGAACTTGTCGATGGCTTGTTCGCCGTCTGCATTCATGCAGAAGCGAAAGCTCGAATCGATAACACACATCGGGCCCACGCAATTAGGCGGCTGGCCAGCCAAATGAGATCACTTCTGGACATTAGCTCACTTTTCACTTTTGTGGCCTTTTTTGGCCTCACTACCACCACCACCGCCCACCCACGCCACAGATCCCCAGTTCGCCGGCCAGATCGAAATGACCAAAATTGGCCAGTGGAAAGCATGCCAACAGGTTGGCGCGACAACTCTCTGGGCCAAGTTCATTGGCCGCAATTTGTTGGTTGGTAGGGATTGCGGATTGCGGATTGCAGATTGCCTTTGCTTTTGATTTTGCTTTTCCACTTTTTGCTGCGACCGCTGGTAGCGCCAAGTCCCAAATCCCATTGTCTGCCTGTCAACTGTCCGCCGGCTGGACATCGATGAGGGACCGCATCAAAGTCACCAAAACGATATTTTTTTGGAACGCATATAGCAGCGGTCTTTCGTCCCGGGCGTGCGCCTGTCATAAGTTTGGCCCCCGAGAACCACAATCCACAGTCGGGGGAGCCCACGTCCCAGGGGTCAAATATTTTGGATGCCCTAACCGATAAAGTAATACCTCTTTCAGATCAAATACCTCTTCTGGCGATTTTAATAAATACAAAGGATCTGTGTAAGCTTATGTTTATTTTTTAAGTCTTTAAAAATGTAAAGAATCTAACATATAACTGTGTAAGTTTTTGTTTAGTTTCAAAGTTTTTAAAAAAGTCTATTCGGCCTTTTAAAATATATCTTTAAGGAATTTTTTGAAATTAATTGTAACACCAACTGTTTGAAAGTATAAATTGTATTGTAATTAAAATCTTTGGAGCAATTGAGAAAGTGTTTCTTTCTAAACTCTTTTTCAATAAAAGTTAAACACCGACTGTTTGAAAGTCTAAATTGTTTTGTGATTAAAAGCTTTAAAACATTAAAAAAAGTGTTTCTTTCTAAACTCTTCTTCAATAAAAGTTAAAAAGCGTATTAAGTTACATGTTTTTATTTGATATTTTAATCTGTAAATGCATTTTGTTTTATATCCAATTATCTATATCATTATCGAGGGTATTTAAAACTTCGTTTTTTGCAAAACATTCAACTTTTCAATTGTAGAGCTCCTACGTTTTTGTTTCTTTGGCCTGCTTGGGTCAAATATTTCATAAGATTTTGTGTCTTGGGCAAAGATCGTGCTGAGATCGTGATTTAGCGCCGCGATGTTGATGCTTTTTTGTCTGATTTTGATCGGGGGTTTGGCTTGGCGGCCATAGAAGTCTATTTCAAATATGTGAAAAATTTCATATGCGGCCCCCAGATCGATGGAAAGCAGCAGGAGCAAATGCAGGGGCATTATGTAAGTTTGCGTGTGAAAATTGGTCATTTGAAAATGCCAAGGCATTGGCCACATTGCAACGAGTGGGGCAGAATCCGCAAGGAGCACGCATCAATTGTTTTTTTAGAGGAGGAGTGGCGGGCAATGGATTGTGGGCAGTAACTGGTGGGCAGGCTCCTTTGAATGCAATTGCGGCGGCAAATTAACATTTTATGAAGCCGAAAACAAAGGGAAACGCGGAATCGTGGGCTACCGCGCTTACACAACGCCGCCAAAGAGGCCAAACAGTTGGCTTAAACAGACGCGATCTGGCCAGAAACCACAGGATCTGCAGCTACTGTTCTAGAGCGGAGCGAGGTAAGTTCACAGGCACAGTGGTTGAATGTCTATTCATTTCAGAATGATATAAAGAAATCTTGAAACAAATCTTTCTTTTAATTCCCTGAATATAAATGCTATGGAATAGGAGGTAATGAGACTTTAGTGGCATCATTGTCATGTCTTAACTTAACTCATAAAACCGACTCGAAATAGATTGATTTTAAGTTTTATTTGCAATATAATCTACAACTGAACTACATTAGTAAAATATCTAAACATGAGTTATTGTTTTAAATTATCTTCATCAAGCATAGGTTTATTTGTTGATATGTTCTTCTAAAAAAGAAGGTTTAACTTTATTTGATTTTGACTTCAAACTTAGTAACTTTTTCCCCAATCCTTTTTAAGTCTAACTACTTTTCTGATAAGTGCTATAATTGGGAAATTGCAGATCACAACACTTGCCAATTAGAAGTACGTCTGGCAGTTTAATTGTTTGCACAATGCCAATTAGATTATTTATACCCATTAAGAAGTTCTTGTGGTAAGAATGGGAAATACCAATAACTAAGCAAAACGTTATCTGAATTTACGAATATCTGTTTTTCTAATAGAAAGTGTGGAGAACCTCCACTTTTTAATATTTCTATATACATTACTAACGAAGAATTCTTGTTAGGAAACCTTACTATCCAATTTCGGAATCTAATTGGGTACTTTGAAGTCTTTTTCCCCTCCAATCTTCACCACTGTGCCGATGGCCAGATGACGATAAGTCCCCGCTCTTCCTGGAGAGAGAGTCAGAACAATGCCAGTTCTTAGGGAACTGAATCCCCGAAGCATTTATTAATTGCACATGCGCTGGAAACGTGGCCCAATGTCAACATCCCAATTGCCAGAATCCCAATCGTGGTTGGGATCGTATGGGGTTGGGGTTTGGGATGGGTGAGTGGGGATGGGTATTCCTGCGATCTTACCTTCTTCATGATGCCCGTTTTGCGCTTGGAGAAGGTCGTGTAGCGACGCAGCTTGTTGTCGATATATTCCATTTTGATTTTGACACGTCCCTTTGTCTTTTTGCCATTGGCGGGCGGTGATTTCTTGTTGGGCAGTGGGTTATAGCTGTCCACCGCATCATCGACAACCGCTCCGCTGGACACGCTGTCGAGTCCTTGGAGGGTGAGTCCTCCGCCGGAGGAGCGATGGTGATCCTCGTAGCAATCGCTGCCGGAACGTTTGAGTCCCCGTTGTTGTTGTTGCTGGGGGTGTTGCTGCTGCTGTTGATGTTGCTGCTGCTGTTGTTGCTGTTGCTGCTGTTGCTGCTGCTGCTGTTGGGAGGCGTGTTGTGGGCTGTGGAGCGTTTGGCATTGGGTGGATGGGGGTGCTCCGCCGCCCGCGGGATTTGGCCGCTGCATGGGCGGCACACCACCGCCCATGTTCTGGAGCAGACCGCCCGAGGGTGGGCGTGCCCCGCCGAGGGCGGCGTTGCCGTACATATCCGCCGGATCCGCCAGACTTAACCCGATACTACTCATCGAGTAGTTCAGGTTGTAGCGCGAGTCGCCCCGCGTCGGATCCATTCTGAGGTAAAAGTTCTCCACCGTGGAGCCGTAGAAATCCAAGGCACCGCGCGCGTCTATTATTGCTTGGGTTTTTGGGGCCGGCCGCGGCACACTTTTTTTCTTTTTTTTTTTGTTATACTTTCCTCTCGGATTGCGGATCCGCTCGCTTGGCGTTTTTTCTATATTCCAAAAATAAAACTACACACAAAAACAGAACAACGCGCGCGTTTTGCTGGCGTTTTTTCGCTTGTATACTGACAACGCGCGAGCGTTTCTCGGGCGGTTTTCTTTGGCCCGGTTGCCTGGGGGGCTAACGCTTTAGCCCGTAAATTGTTAGCAACCCGGGTTTTTTTGGTTTTGGTTTTATTTAATTTTTTAAGTGCAACGCCGACGTTTTGCAACACGCACACGCACGCACGCACACACACACAGGAAAATTGACAGCTGACAGTCCTGCAGTGTTGGAATGTGGCGGAAACCCAGGGATGCCGTGGCTGAGTGTTGCAAAGCAAAGGGGTTTGGCGGTAGATTTGAATTTATATTGTTCTCGTTTGGTTTATTTTGGGAGTTCTTTATAAGTTGTGGGTTTTGTGTGACTGTTTGTTCAAGTTGCTGTAGCTATGGCTTGGAGTTTCTATATGGCTTTTTGTTTAAATTTAATTTATTGCTTACATGCAGTGTTTTTTAAATTATGTTTTTTTTTCTTTGCTTCTTTTTTCTGTTATTTAGCGATTTAGTTTCTTCCTGATTTGTTTTATTTCATTATATCCTGGTGTGGATTTGCTTTTATTGAAGTTTATTTCGCTCGCCGATTTATTAAATTTTGTCTTTTGTAGTTTATTTAGTTTTATTTTATTTTGTCAAAATTTTAAAATTGTATCTATTTTTGTATGCTGCTTTCTTCCTTTTATTTCTTTACGTCTTTTTATGGCTTGGGGTTTTATTTAATTGTATGATTAGCTCTTGAAGTCTTCCTCTAAGTGTCTCCTCGTTTTAATTTCCGTTTTTCTTCAAATTTATTTTAAAGTATTTTTATTTGAAAAATCCTTTTTCCATTTGTTTGGATATCGTGCAGTTATGGGAAATATTTATGGGAAATACTTGTGTTTTTGTTTGTTCCGTATGCGTTGCATTTAGTTTGCTTATTTGTCGCTAGGCACTTGTTTGGACTGTTTACTTTATTTGTGGCGATTTTATTGTGGTTCATTCCAAATACGATTCGAAACGACGAGCTAAACTTGCGATCGATGGCTGACGTTGTGCTTCAGATGGCGTGCAAATACCTAATAAACTTCGGTTTTTGAAAAATACAACGACGACGTTCGTTCCAAACTTGGGCCGAACCGGTTCTCTCTTTGCGAAAGAGAACGCCTGCCTGTATTCCTCTCTTCGATCGGCGGAAAAGAGCATTATATACATGGAAAGCCCCCCACTCTACTCACTCGTTTTTTGTGCCGCTGTCTTTCATTTTGCAGAGGCGGCTGGCTTTATGGCTTAATTAATTAGAAGGCCACGCCCCCCATATGCATACTCATTCGCTGCGCATGCGCATAGATTGGGGGTTTTGGTTAAAATAGGTATATAGATATATATACATACATAGATAGTACTGTTGGCTCCTCCCCCCTTGAAAAATACTTCGTGATTGAATTTTGTAATTACTTTGTGCGCCATTTTATCGTGATTGTTTAAGCTTATCAGCTTTTGTTAATTTAGTTAATTTGTTATTTTGTAATTTCTTTTTTTTCCAGATTTTAAAGCCCCTCTTTTGCTGGACATTTCAAGTCCCCACTGACAACAACAACAACAACAACAACAAAAAGCGATACACTTAAACTATGCCAGGAATTTTTTAGCCCCAGCCAATATGGTCAGAATGCTCTAGAGGATTTGCGTGGTGGGCCCACTTGTACACAGGAGCACGAGTATTTCGCCATGTCCTTAAATAGAGGTTCGCAAGAAAATTCAGCTGGTCGAGAAGGGGGCGGCGGCGGTGGTGGTGGGCATGGCCACGTGCAGTGACTAACAGATAGCAGGGAGATATATAGTAAACTCAGATAAATCGATACACTCTCCACCGCGATCGAAGATGATGCATTCCCTGCATTCGGCTGCAAATGGTCATCGTTGCCTTTTCCAGCCATCGGTGTCGTTGTCGCCAGCTTGTCTCTTCCGCGAATAAGCCAGCTCTTGAGCCAGGGTCTCCGATTCCTGGACACCAGGACCACATCCACATCCACATCCACATCCAGCTCCAACTGATGTCGCTTTCGCATCCCCCCTCTTGCATTTAATTAGAATGAAATATAGGAACTCGCGCGGCTCCTCGATGGTTTGTCTACCTGCCCGGGCTGCCTAATGATTTAAATTAATCATAATGACTGTCAAAATAGAACGTTTGCCGCTGGCAACGGATCATATAAGGATCGATCCACGCAGCGGGCACCCGTTCTTGGGGTTCATCTGCCTCCAAGACACTTAGAAAAAAAGGGGTTTAGTGGTTAAAGGATATTCAGAAAGGGGAATACCAGATTGAGATTCTGTTTCTATATTATATATTTTATATATATTCAATAAATAAATAGAGCAATAATTTCAAGGGGATTGACTTACAAAAGCCTTAGGTTTTATTTTCTATTTATCTTCATGATAGTTTAGGAATGTAAAATGGTTTTTAAGAAAGCCTTCTGGGCTTGGCCATATAAGTTTGTGATTTAATTTTCTATAACTCTAGATAAAACTATTAGTTCTTATCCATTTTAAACATTTGTTCTTTTATTTAAAAAGGCTTTGACTAATTGGCCCCAATTTCAAAGTGTCAGTCCACTAAATATATTTTGGTTTCGTTTGCTAATTATAAGTACATTTTGTTGTTAATTTAGTTATTAGGTCAGTATCGAAGTTTTTTAAATGTGAATGAAAGCTGAGTGGTCTATTTATATAGGTAATCAATTATTTCATATTTGGAATGTATAACATTTAGTCAAGTTGTGATGAAATTAATATATGGTTTAGTGACATTAATACTTTATTGTTTTCTTATAACACCCTTATTATCAGTTTTTAGATTTGTGTATTTTTCTAGTCAAAGAATTTAACTTGTTTCTTGGTTATGTATTATTTATATACAGGGGTGGTCAAAAGTATTTCCACATTTCTTAGGAGTAAGTACGTGTAATTTGTGCAAATACTTTTGACCACCCCTGTTTATTTATCAAGTTCAGTCAATTAAAAGTCAATAACCTGCATTATTTTAATTAACAATAATATAATGTTTTATAGTGTCATTAGTTTAAAAACTATTTTGGCGAGTGCATGTCGATGGAGCTCCTGGTCCTGCTGACATTTCATCATACTCACACGGCCTATGGCTTGTTGGCCTGGTCTAAGGTTCTCACAATTGTAGACGCGTTCTGTGCAGCGCTTACTAATTGGTTAGTTGGCTGCAGGCTGCATGCTGCATGCTGCAGGCTGGTTGGCCACCTGCCCCTTTCTCCGCCCCGCCCCGCCCCCTCCTTTCTCCGGGCGGAGTTGGCTCCAGTGCGGCTGTCTTTCTAGGCGAACGTCAGCCTGTCTGGCCGAGAAGTCTAAAGCCTTGGCTAAAAGGCCTCCACAACTCAGCTCTCAGCTGGGAACAACTGCAACATGCTGCTGATGCTTTTGATGCCTTTTATTTTTTGCCATTCGATTTTCCACGGAATTCTCCTCCGCTGAACATTTCTAATACTTAATTATTTGCCAGCGTTCGCTTGCCGTTCTACGTGCATTTATTTCAGCCATTTCGAGAGGAGGACTGGCTGCTCCTGTTCCTGCATTCTGTAATTCCGCATTACGTAATCCTTGGCGGGTTCACCTTCAAAACGGGGCACAGATCATCTAGGCATTTGGACATTTAGGCATATAGGCATCTAGGTATCCACTCGTCTATATTCCCGAATATATTTATAACTTAAGGGGAACGGTTTGTTCCATTTACGATTTCGAACAGCTTTTTGATTTGCCGTTTTGGTCTGTCCCATGCAGCTAGCCACATATGTGTATTTATATATATAGACTTTTTTACTATTTATAGAGCTTCTTGGGCATTTGCCTTAAGCCAAAGCCAAAGTGTTTTAAATAGTCGAAATATGTAAATTTCTGTTTAGTCTTTTTTAGTAGAATCATGTCACCAAGTGGGAAAGTATCTGCAAGATGTTGGGTTAGGATTTGGATTAGAAGAGCGAGATTTGATTGGAATTTCAGTGGGAAATGTTCTGCCTGGCTTGGAATAGATTAAGTAGATTAGAATAGCAAGCAAAAGAGGGATAATTGTACTAAAACAATGGCCTGTAGAAATAAAATAATGGCGTTTGAAAATAAAATAATGGATAAACCATAATTAATGGATAAATCATAATTTTTTTTACCATATTTGCACCTAACAACTAATTTATGTATACATGCAAATTCTAGTAACTGGACAAAAATCAACACACTAATTTACAAACAGAATCTCCAACAAAATACAAGTTAGCATATATAACTAAAAAAACTAATATACTAGGAAATAAATTAAGATTCGAATTAATATAAAACAAAAATGTATATATTCATATTTAAATCTATAATAAGACACAAATGAAATCTAAATTATTATCACAGCAAAGACACATAAATAAATTCATAGAGCAAAATAAAAATGTTACTTACGCACAAAGAGATTTTTCAAGAAACTTAACAGACAATGACAAATAAGTTTTTTAAAATAAAAAACAAATTAAGAAAGTAAAACACGACCACTTGAAATAATGAAAATGTCAGCAAGGCCTTTTAAATAATTTCCAAAAGTCTAATAAAAATGTAATCTGTAACAGAACAAAATATCTACCTATTCCCCAAGTAATATTTAAAATAGAAAATCTGTTATTCTGAAGCCAAGTTGGTTGATTTACACACTCCAACCAGCAATCACACTCCTTATAGAGTTGAGATTCGCGATCGGGGCAATGAATATATCTGATTGAATAAAAGAACGTGGCACATGTGGCATGCATGCACCAAAAACTCAGGTGTCTAATTGGGCGCTGGGGTGACAATGAACCACTTAACCAAGCCAACTTCAATTCGATGCCACTAAGCCATGAGATTGACAAAAGCCGGCAGAGAAAACCGCCAACGCCGAAGAGCCAGCTCAAAAGTCGAACCAATTGGCAATTGGTACAGGCGATCGCAATGTTTTTTTGCCTCATGAATAACGCATAAGGATTGGCTTTGCGAATCGGACGAGGAATCGAAATCAGGATCGGGTTCTTGGGTTCTTGGTGTTTCTTGGGTTTTTCGAGTTTCGGGGCAATTGTCTGGAAGTTTGTGTTACAATTTAAATAAAATTGCGGCTCCCTGGGCGAAAACAAAAGGAAAAGCAGACATCACTTTGGGGGTTTTGGGATTGGGGTTTTCGGTGTTCGGCTTTTGGTTTTCTTTTGCGGCAATGTGGCAAGTACCGTTGAGGCACAGGAAACAAAAGCACCGCTACAATCATAAAACGATTAACAGGTCGTGACCGTTTCACCTGATTACCGGTAGTCCAGCTCATTTGCATGCATGGCGCGCACCTTTCTTGTCACTGTGACAAGTGCAGGAAGTTCGGAACTTCCTCTCCTCCCCACTAAGTTCTAACTTCCTCGCATTTCAATTCACTCAATATTTAATTATGAATATCAAAAGGCAGACAAAGATTGGTGCGTGCCCCGCATGGAAGTGGCTTTTCGAGGTGTTTCTTGCTTTGCTTTTTGGCCCGAAGTCAAGTCTAGTTGGAGCCCACTAACTCGGGGCCTCTACAAATTAGAACAGAATTATCCCACGCATCTCGGATAATGTACGCGAAATACTTGATCGATTGCCAGCGATCGATAGTTTGTTGTTCTTGCTACTCATGCTCCACTCCGGCAACAAAAGCTAGAACGACAAAAACGACGGCAGACAAGGAGGATCGTCGCAGACAGTCGAGAAATCCATCCATCCAGTTGTGGCCAACTGAAAACACAGCAACAGCAGCTTGGGATCTTCGCATCTTCGGATCTGCGGATCGTCGGATGGCACAACAAATTTCAGCGCGTAGAACGGTAACTTATTTTTTCCTACCCGCTAACTAAGGGGTAATTTGGGTAGTTTGGGCTACACAAAAGTTACAAAATAAAATGATATACATACTGGCAAAACAGAAAATAAGTTTGCTTCCTTTCCTGATTTATCATTTTATACCATTATGAAACGTTTTTATTTTCAAGACACATT